AATCAATTATAAAATTAAAAAATTTATTTACCAGAGGAAAAAAATTGTTTTGAAAAAGAAATAGAAAGGAACCCAGTGGAGAATGAGATCAGAAAAGAATTCAATCATATTAACAAATCCAAATACACTCCTAAGCGAACGATATAATTAAAAAAAAAAAGAAAGTTTAGTAAAATTTCTTACCAAGTATTTATATTTCTTATAGTGTATATATATAATATGTGTAACTTACCAATAAGTTAACCATTGAGTATCGTCGGTTTTCTCTGCACTTTCAACGGCTTTGAAAGAAGCATAAGCTATGACCAAGAGAAGAAGAAAAAAAGCTTTTTGAATAAAGTTTTTAAAATTTGAGAAGTTAAAGGAACAAATAATAATTAATTACCAGGATAAAGCCATCCGATGAGGTTAGAGAGTAATTCCCCCCAAAAATTGAAAAATATCAAAATAGATACAATGCTTAAAACGCCAGCTGCAAGGTAAGTTTTTGGAACTCCAGTTGTTTGTTCCAACTTATTTACTTGTGGATATTTTGCTAATTCTTTGTCGGCTAGGGAATTATAATATCTGAATTTTTCTTTGAAATGATCCATTTTTTTTATTCGTTTTTTTTTAAAAATAAGGTAAAAATGAATTGTTAGAAAACAAGATGATGGTATTTTTTTCCCAAAGTTAAAATATGCAAATCATTGATCTTTATGACTTGGTGACACATTTAAATAATTAATACGAATCGGGGAGAGCATGAGATAAATCTTGAAATAGATATATTACAAACTAGTTGGTTAGCTCGGTAGAAACTTGTCATTAATCCATTGGTTTAATATATTTAACGTACAAACAATAATTTTTTCTTGATATTTGTTTCAACAACAATAATAATAATAAATTCATTATTATAGATAAATTGAGTAAATTCTGAATTATGAAAACCTTTTTTGCCTTTTATTTAATATTAATTAAATTAATTTTTTCGTTATAAATCAGGATATGTACGATAATATCAATCAAGATAAAGGTAACGAAAAAAGATTAATTATCAAATGATGTCTTGCCTTATCACGCTAATTAATATTAAAATAATAATGTTATTGGTGTTATGGTAAAAGCGCAGAATTTTGAATTATAATCATCAGTTACCCAGATATTTTCCCTGGTTCATTGTCATTCATCACCACCATTACTACTACTTTTTTAATAATTAATTTCCGCTTTTTACTCTTTGTTGAATTACTATGTAATTACAAACTATCAAAAAAACGGACAAGAGTTTTAAAAAAAGTAGTATTATTAATTGAAATAAGAAAATCCCTACTAAAAAAAATGTTCAATTTAAATACAATCTGGTTCAGTTATAACAATAGGTGTATTAATTACATTTTCTACCCCTCCTCCTCTTCTTCTTCTTGTTGTTGATGCTGATGTTGATGTTGATGTTGTGAACATGACTGTGACTGTTGCGGATATTCGGTTGTTTCAACTTCAATTTGTGATGGATCTGATGCCTCTATTGTGGTCACAACAGGTGACACGTCTGTTTCAACAAATGAATTAGTTATACTATCTCCATCTTCATTCCTTATTACTACCGTTATTACTTTAATAGTTATTGTTGTAATTTGTTTACTAGTACTACAGCCTGGTTCTGAACATATAGTGCATGGAGCAAATTTTATTGTAGTATTCTCGCCAGATCTTGAGGCTCCCTCTTCTTCTTCTTCTTCTTCTTCTTCTTGATGGTGGTGGTGATGGTTTGAAGCTTCTGTGGTGGTGTTCATGTAGTTCGACGATGAATTCTCTTCTAAATTATTGTCTTTATTAGTATGGTTGTTGGTAGTATTATTGTTATTATCGGAAGAAGGAATAGAAGACAAATCCACCATATTTTAAAGTTTTTTGTTTGTTTTTTACTAAAAATTTGATAGATTAATCAAAATCTTTGCCATAAATGAAATGGATCTGCAACACACTCACGTGGCAACAGATTTTCGTTCTAAGCAACATAGTACAGATGTAAAAGATAAAAAGATATTATTAAAATAATATAAATATATTAATAGTATGGTCATGAAACTATAATCACTGTTTTTAAACATGTTTTGATCCATATTCAAAAGAAAAAAAGATTATTGGTTAATCAGAATTAAGGTTGGAGAAACCAGAATATAGCCCGATAAAATGTCTCGCCTAGCAAACGTCGACAACAAGTGACAAACACTTGGCGAATTTTGAGAAAAGTTCTTCTTTGAGATTTGCTAAAGAGAACGGCAAGATATTATTATATAAATAGCAGTTCTGCTGCAGATCGCGTGAAAACATTGAACGTAGTATAGTCATGAAAGGGAAATAAGTGGATTTTGAAAAAAATCTGTCCAACTTCCTTAATAACAAGAGCAGAAACCTTTTATCTTTCATATAGTTGTTAAAAATCAGATATTGAATAATTGTTGGTAAGAATAATAATTACATACACACATATATGTTTCTGGCAGTTGGACGTTTGTTTGGGTTAGCATCTATATAAAGTTGGAATATTATTTGAAAATCTGGTCTTCACTTTTTTGCTTTACTATTACTATATAGCTTACTGTTCGAATGGAACGTCCAGGTTCGAACCATATGAACTATCAAATATTTGTTGCTTTTTAGTAGAAATTTTCGGTGTAAAGCTGTTGTCCATTTTGTAAGATCTTTTTCCCAAAGATATTTTTTAGATATATTGTGCATGATGCGCACTGCCGATTTTTTTTTATTTTAAAAAAAAAATTTAATATTATTAAAAAAAACAAAACAGATTTTAATCACTAACATTTAGTCACTGATTCAGATGTATATACATCACTATCATTATTTTCACTTCACTAACATCATCTTCATTTTCATCATCTTCTTGTTCCTCATTATCATTGCCAGTATCATTAGTGTTTCTATTGACATTATCTTTTAATTTATTTTGATTTTTTTGGATTTTTGTAATTATAATTAAAATAAATAAACACTAATTAGAAAACCATACCAGATGTTAGTCTATTTCTTTTTTTATCATGTATATATGAGAATGCAGACCAATTTCTTTCAGGTGCTGCTGAAGATGTAGGATTGAAAGAATTTGTACAGCAAGATTAGTCAGTTCAGGGTCAACTAATGAAAAATTCCCTTTCCACCATGTTACCAAATCTGCTTCATCTATAGTTGACCATGCTAAAGAATTGTCAAACAAGCTAGTATGTTGTTTACAATGTAGTAATTGTGACCAAATTTTTCTTGAGTCATTTGGATAATATTTCATAATAAAAAAAAAAAATTTGCATTACATTTATTACTATGTACAAAAAAAAATTACATGCGCATTGGAACATCTCTAGGTGCATTGTTTTTATAAGAGTTAATGATTTCAGTTAAAGCTGACATTTTGAGCTTTCAAAAATTTATTAAAAATTAAATTATATTCAGAACAATATAATATTTATTCAAGACATGTGTATTTACAATTGATCTTTTTGAAGCGAGAAATATTTGTCGGCCAAAGCTTATTTTTTTTAATTATTAAAAGAGTGTAACACAATAATTCTTAATAATAATACCCATAATCTCCAACAAATTCTAAAATAATGTGTAAAGAGTTAAAAGAAAGAACCTTGACAGTTTAAGAAAAAAGATTTATGTGGGTATATTT